ATGGATGCAAGATTTAACATTATAAAACCATAGACATTTTTTGAATTAACTGAAATATTCCATGAAAATACATTCAAATTCCCATCAAGACTATTGAAAGACAATCAATAAACTTATTCCAAAATATAGATGAGAGCACTGGAGCCCATGAATAGCTCAGTCAATTTTTTTTAATGTTTATTTATTTTTGAGAGAGAGAGGAAAGAGACAGAGCATGAGCGGGGGAAGGGCAGAGAGAGAGGGAGACACAGAATCTAAAGCAGGCTCCAGGCTCCGAGCTGTCAGCACAGAGCCCGACGTGGGGCTCAAACCCACAGACTGTGAGATCATAACCTGAGCCAAAGTCGGACGCTTACCCAACTGAGCCACCCAGGTGCCCCTCAGTCCATTTTGATTAAGAGAAATGGAGGAGAACGAGCTTGAACGAGGAGGTTTGTGTGAAAACAGGAGAAAGCAGTGGTTGGGCCCCTCCACCAGTTTAACAGAACTCGGCCTGCGCTTCGGTACCCTCTTCTGCCCAGGGCTGTGCTAAGTGTTAAGGAAGTTCTAAGAGGAAAATTTCACGTTCCCAGTTAAGCACTCAGTCACAGCAGCATGGGAATAGATACATTAGAAGACTAACCAGTAGGTAAGACAAGGCGGTGTTCCTAAAAATTGCCAAATAGAAGTCTCTTCACCAAAGCGAGAGTCACTCTGTTTTAAGAGATGGAGAAGAGGCTTCGCGGCCCCGTTTCAGCCAAGCCTCGAAGAAGGAAGTGACTCGTTAGGTGGAGAAGCAGACATACTGGCTGCGAAGAGCTGACCACGAACAGCGATGGAAAGACGTGGAAGAAGGCATGGCATTTTCTAGGAATGTTGATTACCGGTGAGCCTGGAGTGCAGGGCTCAGGCAGGAACGCAGCAGAAAAGGAGACAGGAAAACATAGCTTGGGGCCAGTCCCTGGGGCCTGGCACTCGCACTGAGGAATGCAGAATTGGGGCAGTGTTGTAGGAGGGCAGTGGAAATCTCTCCTGGACTCTATGAATCATACCACATAGGACATGACCTCCTCTGTCTTCTCTTAAAACTGCCCGGGGCATCAGAGCCACACAGCTCATGTTTGCAACACGTCACCCGTCTCTCTTCTTCAACCTGGCGTCCTGGGCAGGTGAAGCATCCCCAGACGTGCTTTTTCTTGGCATTGCCCTAGCTTAGCAAGGCGAGGCGGAACCTGGATTTCTGGAGTTCGGGAACTCCAGAACATTCTGCACACCTACTGTGATGCCAACCATCCAAGCCTTTGGGAGACAGAATTAATCACACAGATTTTATCCGTAAAGAATGCAAGAGTGAAGCATTCTGATGCTAGGCCTGGGCTCTTTACCCTTCCACCTTAAGACCCTGAAAGAGTCGCAAGTTTCTAGAGAAGCCGCTGCATAGTTGGGGGAAACACAGGACGAGATTTTAGGTGCCAGCCTCTAATGCAGCTCCTTCTCGGCTGTGTGTTCTTTAGCCAGTCACTAAACCTCTCTAAGCCTCAGACTTCTTACCTCTAGATTGCAAATAATACAAAGACCCTGTGCCACGCAATGTGAACAATCTATGAAATAATATATGGGAGGTGCTCTGTGGCCCCAAATATGCTCAATAAAGTTATTAATTATCACAGGAGCCTGTCTCTCCATTTTAACTGCTCTGGCCTCAAGCTTTGCAGAAATACTTACGATTCTGTCCAAGAATATATCACCAACTCACATCCATTCCCCCAAACATCTGCTGGTAAAGAACAAGTTTAAGAGCCGCTAATATATTGAAGTATTTTCGTTTTCTCGATTCCAAATAATTTCACATGCATCTCAAAGACTGCTGGGAGCAGTTGTAAAAGCTGCTTCTAAATGACTGAAACAGATGGAGTTTATTTTTAAATACACTGCCATTTGCTAAAACAGATTAGTCTTTGAAATCCCTCAAACACCTAAACTCTCCAGACTTTTCAAAAAGAAAACTCGGCCTCCTGGAAGGTATTTCTGGCGTCTTCCAGGTCCCACCGAGTGTCTGGTTGCTGAGAAGGCTCAGAGGAAGTCCCTTCAGGAGCAACTCAGTCAGGAGGTTCTGTTTCCAATACCAGGAATTGAGAGATGTTTGGGTTCAGACCTCCTGCCGCGAAGATGGAGGGAGAGACCGAGGAAAATCGGGAACAAAGGGACACGAGAAAGTGGTGGTGGGGAGGGAGGAGTCCTGGCCTGTAAGACCCTGGACACACGTGCCCATTCCTCTGCTCTTTTGCTTCCTGGATATTAACTCTGGAGCATCTACTGTAAGACAGCTGTGTTGGGTGCTTGGGGCCCTGTAAGAGCAGGGCACAGCTGTCCTCTGCTCTCCCAGAGTTTCCCATCTTACGAGAGGGACGGATTTGGCAGTGGGAATAATTATCTCCTGGTGGGATATCGTGACACATGATGTGCAGAGAAGTACAGGCAGCAGAGGTCATACAAAGGGGGTCTGGTTCTGGGCTGAAAAGTCTGAAAGGATTCCCTGAAGGACAAACAGAGCGGGCAAAGAGGAAGATGGGAGAAAAGTGTGGCACGCAGAGGAAACGTCCTTAGGAAGCAAAACAGAGCATGGGCCCCTCAAGGAATGTTGGAAGGCTCCAGTGGCTGAAGGAGAGAGACCAAGTAGCAGGTGGTACCGCTTCCCCTTGGGGACGGTGATGATGTTGACCCAGCAGCACTGAGGCCCAAACGATGTCACTCTTGTCCTCCTTCCTATCAAGGGTTTGGATCCCAGCAGGGCTGGGCAATGCTGCAGTGTGGTCATATGGCCTCAGATTTGCTAGCAGGTCCATGGCATTGGTCTTGATGCCTTAATTTGGCTACTTCATGATCTCAGCATTGCTTTCTCTGCTTTCAGGACTGTCCCTCTTAAATGCATCCTCCACTCAGCTCTAAGTCTTCCTAAAGGGAAGCGAGTTTCCCCCTCGCCGAAAAACCCTTTGAGAGCACACCAATGTTCATCGCCGCACTATTCACAGTAAGGCAGAAATAGCCCCAGTGTCTACCAACAGATGAATACGGGAACAAAATGCGGTATATGCAAACAATGGAATATTATTCAACCTAGAAAGGAAGGAAATTCTGATATAAACTACAACACAGATGAACCTTTATGGAGGCATTATGCTAAGTGAAATAAGCCAGACACATACACACACACACACACACACACACACACACACACACACACCAAATTTTGTACAATTCCACTAATGTGAGGTACCTAGAACAGGCAAATTCATAGAGACAGAAGGCAAAATAGATGTTATCAGGGGTTGGGGAGCAGGGGGGATGGGGGTTATTGTTTAACATATACAGAGTTTCTGTTTGAGATGATGGAAAGTTCTGGAAATGATTAATATGATGACTGTATGACATTGCAATTGATTGTACTTGATGGCACTGAATTGTACAGTTAAAAATGGTTAAAATAGGAAACCAAGCCAAATGAAACCAAACCAAATAAGCAAACAAACATACCCCTTCCATGGCTCCCTTCGCACCCAAGGTGCTCACTGCAGTCCAGCTGCTCTCTGCCTCCCAGTCTCCATTACTGCCCTGTCCCCCACTGCAGCCCAGGGCTGGCAGACCTCCGAGAGGAGCCCAGCTGCCCCTTAGTGTCGGGACTCTGCCTGTGGTTCAATGCCTACACAGTGTTCACATTTTGCTCAGACATTCCTTCTCCAGGGAAGTGTCCGTGGACATTCCCCCCCTCCCTTGTGCTTGGATGGGGGCTTCTCTCTGAGCTGCCCTAAGACCCTCTTTTAAATATCTGCTTTTTAAGTGTCTGTCCCCCACCCCCCAGTAAACTACAAGCTTCTAAGAACTAGGACATGAATTATTTGGCATGGTATTTCCAGCACCTAGCATGGCACCTGGCACAGATTGGATGCTTCATAAAATTAGAAGCTCATCAATGACAGAATAACCATCAGGGCTTATGCTGTGATCAACCAGGTTATTTCTTCCATAATAGTTACTGTTATGATCGATATCATTATATCACTATCATCGGTATGATATCACCATCATCATCATCACCGTCACCACCATCATCATCATCACCATCATCACCATCACTATGACCATCATAATCATCACCATCATCATCACCACCATCATCACCATCATCACCATCTACCAGGAACTTCATGAGACCACCCAGTAGACCCATGAGTACTGAGTTCTATTCTTTGCCTTCATTCAACAGTCAGTGACCCAGTTGGCCAAACCTTGGGAGCTCCATGCCTCACCCTGTGGCTGCTGACCCAGCTGCCCGCCATTCCTTGATCCACCATGGGGGCAAGCTCTGGGGTCTCCACCTCCCCTCACCCCTCAGGCAAAGGAAACAACGAGGTAGAAGGGATTAGATACAGGGAATGAATCACCCAATAGTGTTCCACAAAGAAATGCCACCAGAACAGAATCTCAGCAGGAGATTTGGAGCATGGGCGGTTGAAGAAACCAGACAGCATAAGGGAAGATTTTAAGTTCAAACCCGAGAAGGTCAGGGAAGCGACACTGGGGAGCAGATGAGAATTCTCTTGTTCCACTTCTCCCCTGTCGTGAGCAATACTGTTGGGTGTCGTGAGCATCATACTGGCTAAACTGTGCCCTCATCGTTAGCTTTCCTTCCACCAGAAAGCTTCTCATCCTACAGTCTACCCCCTTATGTTTGTCGATTGGCAAAAGAGGTCTTCAAGAGTTCAGATCATTAAGCCCTACTGAGGCAATCTCCCAAAATAGAAACACTTTCCCATCTAGAATTTTCCTCAGTTTAGAATGATGGACAGTCGTCAGGGGAGTTCCTCGGCATCCTGGAATCACATGTACATGGAAAGATGGCCAAGAGCAAGCATGGATAAAGGAAACCAAGCAATTGAAGTCAACTGGTCTTAAAAGGCAAGTGAGGACCCCTCGCCTCACCCGTGTCTAAAACAAATCTGAAGGCACAAGAAGGGACTCACCATCAGCACAGCCCTCCGGAAGAGTCTGGAGTCTGAGGCCCTGGTGGTTAGAAGGTGGATGCCGGCCACATCGGCTCCCCCACGGTCTGCCGCCAGGGTCACGCGTCGAGGGTCCCCACCAAACACTGCGATGTGGGTCTGCACCCAGGTCAGAGCCGCCAGCTGGTCCAGCAGCCCCCAGTTGCCACTCACCTCTCCAGAACCTGCAGAAAGAGGAAAGCCTTTTACCCTTTGCGATTGTACAATCCGGATTTTAGTCACCCCCGGTGGTGTCTGAGCCAGGCACACGGCACCTCTGGGGGACCTGGCCTCCTGTCTGCACAGATCAGGATGGTGGGAGCAGCATGGGCTCCAGAACCGGGAGCATCCAGCCTTTGCTGGGTAGGAGACCCTGACGTTGTCCCTCTGTTTCTCTGGCCCACAGCGTTCCCACCATAGGCGAGGGCACTTGCTAGGGCAGCCGTTCACATTAGAGTCAGGGCACTTTCAGAGTACCACCTGGCTTGGCACATCAGAGGGGATGCCCCACGTCTCGGCCCACTGTGGTGGCTTTCCACACCTCTTCCTCCCTGACAAGGACCAGGCCTGGCTGAGGCTCTCCATCCAGTTCCTTCCTACTGCCTCTTCTCCCATGCACATTCAGCATGTTGATCATTCAGCAGAGTTGATCTCTCTATTCTCTTTTCACAGAATTTAGTATTTATTTACTGAAGAGCTCAGCACTATTTTTCTAATGACATGATTCAAGCACACACACACACACACACACGTATAGTATAGCAAAAACACATTCTTCTCCTCAGCATTTGGCACATCACATGCCCATGCCCTCTGGCCATCCTCTGAACCCAGTGGATCCTCCTTGTCAGTCTACACAGCTGACCACTCTGAAATACCCGGAGTCTTCCAGCTTGAGCTGAGAGTCACCCACTTTGTTCGGGGACATGCCAGCAGATTCCCATGCCCCCGATCACCACCCACCTGCTGATGACTCGGGAGCATCAGGGGCACAGAGTGCCCTCCCAGTTCCGGCTCCTCAAGTCTCCAGGAGGCTACCTTGCTGAAGGCACTTCAAGTGCACTGAGTCCCAAAGGGAATCGATTCCAAGTGCCCTGAGCATGCGGCCAGTAGCCTTTGTGGAATTTCTCACGTCCTCCTTCTAATGCGGCACCACCCCCCTGGTCTGCTCCTGCACGGCCTTGGAGTCTTCCCTGACACCTGCTGTACTCCACCCTGACCCCTTCTGTTCCCCAGATGCTCTAGGCTCTCTCCCCACCGATCTCCTTGGCGCTTGTCACTGGCCTCAGGTATCCGTGCGTCTCTCCCTCTGATTCTCCGTGCCACATCCCGAGTGGTCTTCTAATTTTTTTTTTTAATTTTCATTTACTGGGGCGCCTGGGTGGCTCAGTCGGTTAAGCGTCCGACTTCAGCCAGGTCACGATCTCGCGGTCCGGGAGTTCGAGCCCCGCGTCGGGCTCTGGGCTGATGGCTCAGAGCCTGGAGCCTGCTTCCGATTCTGTGTTTCCCTCTCTCTCTGCCCCTCCCCCATTCATGCTGTGTCTCTCTCTGTCTGAAAAATAAATAAACATTAAAAAAAATTAAAAAATAAATAAATTTTCATTTACTTATTTTGAGAGACAGAGCACACTTGAGAGGGGAGGGACAGAGAGAGGCGGGGGGCGGGGGGAAGAGAGAATTCCAAGCAGGCCGCACGCTGTCAGCACAGAGCCTGATGCAGGCTGGAGAACCCACGAACTGCGAGATCACGACCTGAGCCGAAACCTGAGTCAGACACTTGACCAACTGAGCCACCCAGGCACCCCCTGGGTGATCTTTCAAATGCATAATTTTTCATACACACACACAGACAGACACACACACACACACACACGCACACACACACTTCCCCATCCTATCTAAAATTTCCCATCTCATCCCATTAGGACATGATCTCAGTTCTCCCAGTGCATTCAACAGACATGGGACTAGGGTGTCTGTCCCCTGGGCCCCATCCCCCTTCATCTCCTCCCCGGGCCTGGCTTCTTATCAATTGCTCAAACATGGGGTCACCCTCTTCCAGGCCGGTGCCTGGCACATGGGGTTTCCTCTGCCCAGAGCCTTTGCCTTCCCCCGGCCTTCCTCATCTTCCTCCTCCAGCCCAGCTATCCTTCAAGTGTTAGCAATGCCGTGAATTCAGAGGCAGCCCTCCAGTGAAGCAGGGCTCCCTAATCTGGATACTTGTCACCCTGGGTACTGCCTCCCTTGCTAGACCGTGTACCCCACTGAAATCAGGGGCACACAGCAGGTCCTCAGTAAACGTCAGGCGAATGAATGACCAGAGCTATGATCAACAGGGTCCAGTATCCAGCAAGAAACTACCAGCGAGACTCCACAGTCCCAAACAGAAAACCAGAAGAATCGCGCACCCCGATTTGCTCACCTGGCGCTCACAAAGCTGCTGAGAACGCCTGCTCTGGGGACATAATAGCTCAGATTACTCTTCCAGCTGGGAATAGTCTCAGCATTTCTTCAAATGCATTTTGTGTTCTGGGTTTGGTGAAGACATTAGCACAGTCCTCACCATGACTTTCCTGGATCACGCTTCCTCCGCTTGTTAGGACAAATGCGTTTGTTTCTGAGGTCTTGGGCCAGGCAGGAGAGCATGTGCCAATGGAGGAGGACCCAGTCCCGGACATCTGGGAAGTGACGCCCGCAGCCTGCGTTTCCAGTGACAATGTAGGAGGGCTGGGGGCCGCTGTCCCTGACTCTCCCTTCCCCTATATCAGCTTCCCAAGGACAGTGCTGACATTGTGGGGTCTAGAAACCCCCAGGAAGTCAGAGGGGGAGGGGGCCTTCAAGGGCTGCTCTTCAGACAGTCTGAATTGGGCTTTGCCTGGTGCGAGGCGCTGTGCCTGGTTCCCCCGGGGCCGGGGGGCCCCAAGACAGGCATGTTCCTGGCCCTCAGGTCACACAGGGTCAGCAGCGCACGCAGGGGCAGTGAGCCGGCTGGTCTCTGGCAGGCTGCACCAACCCCTTCCTTCCCTGAGGAGGAACCTGAAACTCCAGGGGAATGTTTGCTTTGGTGCAAGAAGCAAACGTAAGATAAAGTCGGGACTTAGATCCCGATGCATACTCAGAACTCTCTGTCCTAACGCTCAGTCCAACTCAACAAACACTTGTTGGAATGATGTGCGAGGCACTGTGTTATTTTCATTAAAAAAAAAAAATTGAAGTGCTCTCTTTAAGGAACTTTCTGTGCTCGAAAGCTCTCCTGACTCCCTCGCTCCTACTGCGTCAAGTCTAAACATCTTCCTGGCTTTTGAGATCCTCTAAGAATGGCCTTGGCCCGTCCAAGCCGTCTGGGCTCCCTACACTCTCCTACACTGACCCTTGCCCAGCCATCAAGGCCAAGTTCATCCCCCTGCAGTCTGGCTGGCTGTGGCCGACCGGGGGTTCTCCTGGTTTCATCCTGCCCACACATGAGCTGTGCGGTGCCCCCATGACACTGGAGAGGGGCTCCCCCCCGGCCACACATAGAGTCCAGTAGGAAGACAGAGGTGGGCAGATGTCCAACCCTGTGCACCTGCCCCTGCTGCCCTGACCTGTTTTCCACCTCCAGTGTCCTGCCCCTGTGAACCACAGAACCAGCCCAGCAAGCATCTAACTGTTCCCTCGATCCCTAACAGGTTCTCACTTGCTTGTTGGATTTCTTCCAGTACCCCCCCCTCAAAGCTCTCGGGGCTCACAGCGGGCCCTCACCCGGTCTTGTTGATGGCCGTCGGTAAGAGGCGGCAGGTGAGGGGGCCAAGCGCTCAGGTGATAGAGCCAGAGGGCCCTGGACAAGCTCCTGAATGTGACTTGATCTTCCCTGTCTGGGAGGTGGAAATGATAACCATACTCATGTCTTTAGGTTGTTAGGATGCTTGAATTAGTTCAGGACTGGAAAGGCAACGGAACAGCGCCTGGCAGAAAGCACTGTAGAACTTGTTTGGCTTTGCTTGAATAAACCAGATTCAGGCGCCAGCATTGTCTCAGGTCTTTGCAGACCTTGGCCTTGGCTTGGCTTTTGCAGCAGAAATGGCCCTTGTGGGGGGGCGGCCGCCGAGACAGGACTCTGTGCTCGTTCTTTTGGTTGGAGGGTGGCAGTGCCTCTCGGGAGGCATCCGTGTGCCCCAGGGATGACGAGATGACGGTAATGGTCCTGGGCGTGGCCTTCTGTCTGATCCCCTGGCCAAAGCACACTTCCTCTGTCCCCACAGCCTGCAGGGGGCCCACGGGCCGCCCTGCCCACTCCTCCTCTGAGCCTGCACACCACCTGCCCCATTGCCCTTGCCGCACTGCTTTGCCGGAGAGAGGACAATCTCTGTGGCCTGTGCCCCCGAGGGTCGGTCCCCACCCGCAAGATCCAGGCTGGGGAAACACCCCAACCCCGGCCCGGCACCAACCACCTCAATTCCCTTCCGACTGCTCAGCTCACCAGGAACCAGGGCCCCCTTGAAGTGCTGATGGGGTTTTTTTTTCCTTTTCTTGCTGAGAACGTGAGTTTGTCTAGTCAGCCGCGGGGCGGGTGTGAGCTTCTGTTTCCATTCTTCCTCCGTCCCCTTTCAAAAGTGCCTCTGGGGCGCCTGGGGGCTCAGTTGGTCAAGCGTCTGACTCTTGACTTCCGGCTCGGGTCACGATCTCGCGGTTCGTGAGTTTGAGCCCCGTGTCGGGCTCTGTGCTGACAGCTCAGAGCCGGCTTAGGACTCTCTCTCTCCCTCTGCCCCACCCCCCTGTCTCTCAAAATAAATAGAAATAAACTTAAAAATAAAATAAAATATGAAAAGCGCTTCTGGCATCGAGGGCTCTCGGAAGACTGTTTTCACTCTGGGCTACCATGGAAGATGCTGTGTACGTTGATCACAGGAGATAATGTGCATAGACTCAGTAAGTGCCAGGGGCCATTGCAACTGCTGTGGTCCAGGGGCAGCTCTGTGCCAGCTACTGGCCAGATGCAGAGCCAGTCATGACGATAACACAGCCCTGCCTTGAAGAAGCTCCATCCAGGGAAAGAAACGGGGCATTAACCCTTGCGAGCCCCTGCTGGGTGCCAGGCGTCTGCCCTCCACCCACTGTACCCTATCATCTGCCCATATGTCCTAGTGTCGTTTGAGAGATGGGCAGCCTGTGAGTGGAGGCAGAAGGAGGGAACTGCCCAGAGCCCCTGGGTCCCACAGAGCTGCTCTCAGACCCCATTCTGCTCAGACACAAAGTCCGAGCCGTACAGGACACTGGGCTCAGGCTCGACTCAAACTAGCCTGTCTCTTTCCAGACTTGCGTGCTGAACTGCAGTTTCCAACTATTTAAAATGGAAAAGGGGAGGGGCGCCTGGGTGGCTCAGTCGGGTAAGCGTCTGCCCTCGGCTCAGGTCACAGTCTCACAGTTTGTGAGTTCGAGCCCCGCGTCGGGCTCTGTGCTGACGGCTCAGAGCCCGGAGCCTGCTTCAGAGTCTGCGTCTCCCTCTCTCTGCCCCTCCTCTGCTCGCTCTCTGTCTCTTTTTCAAAAATAAATAAACATTAAGATTTTTTTTTTAAGTTAAAAAAAATAACATGCAAAAGAGGAAAGACGAACAGGTGAAGCACAGGGAGGCCTCAGGGGCAGTGAAACTATTCTGTAAGACACACAATGGTGGACACGTGTCATTATACGTTTATCAAAACCGTAGAATGTACAATACAAAGAGCGACCCCTCCTGCAAACTGTGGGCTTTAGTCAATCATAAACTATCAGTGTCTCCTCATCAGTGGTAACAAGCGTGCCACACCCACGCGCAAGGTTAACAATAGGGGAAACTGAGGCAGGGGGAGAAGGAGTATATGGGAACTGTCTACACTTTCTGCTCAATTATTCTGTAAACTTAAAACCACTCTTAATGGTAAAATCTATTATACCTCTTTTATTTTTTTTTAATGTTTATTTATTTTTGAGCGAGCGAGAGAGAGAGGGAGAGAGAGAGCACAAGCAGGGGAGGTGCACAGAGAGAGGGGGACAGAGGATCCGAAGGGGCTCTGCACTGACAGTCGCAAGACTAATGCGGGGCTCGAACTCACGAACAGTGAGATCACAACCTGAGCCAACGTCGGACGCTTAACTGACTGAGCCACCCAGGCGCCTGTCTATTATATATTTATTCAATGTAAATGGTAAAGGGGATGGTGTGTTGGGTGTCACAAACTTACTGGGGGGTTCGTGGAATCGCACACCAGTCCCTCCCCCTTCCTGAGCATCCCCTGGGGCTGCGGGCACCTGCGTCCTCTGCAGAGCTTTGTCAGGGGACACATTGCGGCGGGCGGGCGGGCTGACTGTGGTCAGAGAGGCTGTTGTTTGCATCCTAGCGCCTCTGTGTCTCAGTGTCTCTCCGGATGCATCGCTCCCCTGTCCTGGCGGAACTGCAGGGCGGCTCAACGGAAGAGAGGCAAAAGCCCGGGAATGTGGGGGGAGCTGGGGAGTCTGGTCAATAGAGCAAAGAAGAACCATCTGTGGCTAAAAGGATGTAAAAGACCAATCTTACTCTGTACACGGAAGAACAGGGAACCCAAAGGGCACTTGTAAACATCCGTGGGAGCAAGCCACGATAGATTTCTCCTTGCTGTTTGAGCAACAGGATGCAGAGCCCGGAACGCACTCCTAATTGTGGGCCATGGGGTTCCTCGACCTCTCTGAGCCTCATGGTTCATCTGCGCAACGGCCCTTTGGTACTGGCCTCACAGAGCTGCCTTAAGAATGAAATGAGGTTGGGGCACCTGGGTGGCACAGTCGGTTAAGCGTCCGATTTCAGCCAGGTCACGATCTCGCGGTCCGTGAGTTCGAGCCCCGCGTCGGGCTCTGGGCTGATGGCTCGGAGCCTGGAGCCTGTTTCCGATTCTGTGTCTCCCTCTCTCTCTGCCCCTCCCCCGTTCATGCTCTGTCTCCCCCTGTCCCAAAAAAAAAAAACCGTTAAAAAAAAAAATAAAAAAAAAAAAAAAAAAGAATGAAATGAGGTAATCCAGGAGAAATGTCTGGTGGAGACCGGCACTCTCAACTGTAACTTTCCTTCTCCCTCGCAGTTTTGCTTTAAGCACAATGAACAGGCAGCATTCCAGATCAGGAAGGAGAAGGGTTGGGTGTTCTGGAAACTTCCTTTGCCTCCCCCGACACTGTCTCCACCGGCAGCAGAAATGAGTCTGCCTTCCCAGAAGCACACAAATCTTCAGTAAGATTACACTCCACGAAACCGTTGCCCCCCCACCCCCACCCCGCGACAGCGGAGGTATGGAAATTTACTCTTCCCTGTCTGGTAAGGCTCTGTGCCAAGGAGCCGGCCCCGTCTGTGGAAAGCTCCACCCGACCACGTTCAACAGGATGAGTTCTGAATTTCACCCGCCTCTTCAGAGCCGGGAGCTACTGACTTCGCAAATCATCATCAGTCTCGTGTTTGACAAGAGGAAAGAAAATCCAGGCAAAGTTGTCAGCGCTCTAGCAGTCGACCCCGTTCCCTCCGAAGGAAAATCTGAAATCTGTTTGTCATCCGTGTTTCCCTCGTTGGCATCTGGTGGTATTTCGCCTTGACTCGGCGCCCATTTTGGGTTTGCCGTGCAGGCCTAGAATCTTCTCACGGCGCTTGAGGCTTCGCGCCATGTGGTCTACACAGCCCTCGTTCCCCAGCACTGCCGAGTTCCTGCCCGTGCTGGATACCTACCCACTCACCACATCCTAGGTGAGTTCATCAATCTCGCCATGCTACCTTCTACCTGCCCGTCCTTACTTAGCAGGTCAGGCATTCAGGTCTTAAGTGAGATCCTTGGAGAACAGAGATGAAGTTCAGTGCCTACCTGGAGGACCTACTACCGTATCTGAAGCCCTTTCACATGTACGACCTCCCTGGAGCCTTACGTAACTTTGGAAGTTGGGTGAAATCGTTCCCATTTTATAGAGGAGAAAGCTGAGACTCAGAAGCGAAGGGTTTTATGAATGAGATTCAGACAATGAATGGCAGAGCTGGCCCTCAGCTCTTCAGATTCCCAGGCCAGCGTGTCCACCGCTGGCCATGGCTGTTTGACAAATACCCACCACTGGTGGGGGCTGGATGCGGAGGAAGAGGCAGATGATGAAAGTGTCCGGGCCTCACCTCTGCCCTGGGTGCTGGTGGGGGAAGTGGAGGGTGTAACCGGGGTGACAAACGGTTGTGTGACTGGATAGGGGACAGGATGACATTCCCAAGTGAGGCTGGCATTCAAGAGGAAACAGGAAGCATTACTGACACCCGCCCTCACGCAGAGTCAAATGGCTTCCCTGTGGGCCCAGGACCTATAATCCATTTCTATCCTTTTCTAGAGCCAAGTCAATCTCGGTGGTGAATCCTGGCTCTGTTGTTTCTTAACTATCGATATTAAACAAGGGTTTGACCTTCTGGGACCTCAACACACACCCACCCCCCCACCCACCCACACACACACACACACACCAGAAGATAAAGCACGTAATGGACTTGGAACAGCTTCAGCACAAAGTAAGTTCAGTCGGTGGCAACAGGGCATCAGCATCACTGGAGGGGTCTCATGGTGTGCTGGACATTCCACTGAGAGCTCACCAGGCTGGAGGAGGGCTGGGGACCAGGAAGGGACAGATGGGGCTCTGAGAAGAAGGGGTTGGACACACACATAGAGTTGGCCTCGGCTCAGGGGTCAGCAGCCACACCAGCGACTCACCAGAACTCAGGAAGCCGAAGACACCCACTCGGGAGCCGGCAGTGACGACGATGAGGTTGCCAATGGCGGCCAGGAAGGAGCCATCGATGGCCAGCTGCCCTTCACTCCCCCTGCCCTCCACGGTGTTGTGGAAAAGCACCAGCACGGACGCGTTGGGGGCCTGTGGGGAGCGGACAAATGTAAGGCGACACGTTGGCCCCTTCTCAGCTGGCAGAGCTTGGTGAGGGCACCTTTCCGAAGAAAGTGCCAGATTCTGAGCCTACACGTGACTCTTCCTGGCAACTCTGCCTCGTAAGCACACTGAGTCCCACGTTACGGGCTGAGCTGTGTCCCCCCAAAACTCACAGCTTGAATCCCTGACCCCCATGACCTCAGAATGTGACTATATTTGGAGAGGGTCCTATAAGGCAGTGATTAAGCTAGTGGGCCCTAAGCCAATATGACTGGTAGCCTCACAAGAAGGGGACGTTTAGGGGCGCCTGAGTGGCTCAGTCAGTTGAGCGTCCGACTTCGGCTCAGGTCATGGTCTCGCGGTTTGTGAGTTCGAGCCCCGCGTTGGGCTCTGTGCTAACAAACAGCTCAGAGCCTGGAGGCTGCTTCAGATTCTGTGCGTGTGTGTGTGTGTGTGTGTGTGTGTGTGTGTGTGTGTCTTGTCCTCCCCTCCTCATGCTCTGTCTCTCTCTGTCTCTCAAAAATAAATGTTAAAAAAAAAAAGAGGGGACATTTGGATGGAGACACACAGAAGAGATGCCATGTGGAGACACAGGGAGGAGATGACCATCCACTGGCTGAGGAGAGCAGCCTCAGAAGCCAGCAACCCTGCCGGCCCCTTGGTCTTGGATCCCCGGCCTTCAGAATCGTGAGAAAATAGATCTCTCTTTACGTCTCCTGGCCAGTGCTGTCTTACAGCACCACCAGTGCACTAATCGGCCTGATGCCACCCGATAAGCTGTTTTGAAACGTGAGCAGGTGGTGGAAATGGCAGCCCACGGCAGACCGGGAGCCCATCGGCTGGAGCTATGCAGTCCTCCAGCCCCTCGGTTCTCGCCCCTAGTTCATTCCGGAAGGCCCTCTGGGTCCTCCCCGGTGAGCCTCTTTAGTTTGGCCAGCGTGTCCCTGAATCCCACCCTGGGGGTACACAGCCACCTTCTACCATGCGCCGAGAGCAAGGCACTGGGCTCAGCACCTACACGTGTTCCTTATTCAGTCCTCAAGCTCCAGGAGCATGCGGATCGTTACCGTGCCCACTTTACAGATGAGAAGGCAGAGGCCTGGCGATCTTACATAGCTCGTCTGAGATCACACAGTGACGGAGGGAGTGGCAAGGCAGGACTTAAACCCAAGCTGGCCCTTCTGTTAGAATATAATGCTCCCTCTGGGGGACCCGAACTTGACTCCGGGCCGCGGTGTGTGCAGGACCCCAGGTGCGTCTTGCTCACTCAGTCCTCCCTGTGCTGTGACGGCTCCAGCCACGTGCCACGGGCTCTGACACGCGTGCGTTCCCCACCAACAGCGAACACTGGTTGAGGACCCGCCCCGATGGATGGCACGCTAAGTGTGGTCACCTCGGGCGCCCCCTCACAGCTTCCGCCCCACAAGGCCGATGCTCTAATGACCCTAAGCACCTCGACTCCACGGGTGCGAACGCTGAGGCTCAGAGCGGGCGAAGTCACTGTTTAAAACACGTACGGGGAGGAGGCGGCTGACCCAGAATTGCAGCCTCAGCCCCCTCCCAGCACACTCCCCTGTGACATTGTCCCATTCGTGGTCACCTCATGTCCCCCATCAGCCATCTCCTGACTCCTGAGACTCCATGCAATGTTTTATTTAATTCTTGCGAGGACGTTATGAACCAGATGTTGTTTCTCTGCCACTTTCAGAACCGGTAACTGGAGCACACAGAACGTGATTGCCTTCTCTAGGCCAGTGGGTCAGTGGAAGTCCGGCTGGGCGCCGGACCTTACTCCGGCATCCCAGGTATGGGGTGACCAGCACCAGGCAGAGGGGACCTGCTGTCTCCCTTATCCTAGGCTCTGTGTTCTTAGTGGTGCAGCCCACGGGAGCTTTGACGTCTGAGAGGCCTCATGACCAAGCTTACTCAGACCATCTTGCTGACGTCAAACGTCCAAAGGGCAGTGGAATCTCACTGCTAGCGGGCTAGGGGACCAGGACGCTGTAGCGTGGTCACCGGCACCATGGCGTCTATCGACACCGGGCTGGCGTCACCAGAAACTCATGTTTCCTAAACCTTATCAGTTCCTTTTTCTCTCGTGCACTCTGACCCTTCCCCGCAAAACAGGGAACTCAAACATTCAACACCAGGGTCATGGCTGCTTCTCAGGCAGATTCAGGCTTCAAATCGGGAAAGAACCAGAGTCAGGGTCGCAGCGCCAAGCCTTTCCCTCCAGGACTGCCCCGAACAACACTCTGGTGGGGGGGGGGGGATTCCCTAGGGGTCCCTCCTAGGGTCTTCCAAGGACAGTGCTGTTCATTTCCTCACGCGTGGGTGAACGGGAGTCAGGCTCCGCCCTTTCCCCCCGCTCCTGCTCGGGCTCTCTCCCACTCTCAGAGCCCCGCATCACTGACCCTCACCCACCGCCTGCCTCACGCCTCCCCACCCACCCCTGTTCAAGCGGCACCTGCTGAACACCGCCCAACACACCTCCTGTCACTGTGTCCTCTCAACACAGGAGTCGATCGACACTTGCTTCTCTGTTTCTGCCCTTCCCACTAAGATGCAACTCCCTCTGTTTTAAGCACCGCTCCGTCCCACCCAGAGCAGTGCACCCCAACACAAGCCCTTTGTGAGTATTTCTCGGAGAACCGAAGCAGGACAACTGTGCCTCATCTCCCGTGGCGGGGGGGGAGGGGAGGGGCGGGTGACCTGGGGATGTGGGGAGGATACAGTGAGGCCAGGTAGGAACCAGGAGAACCCCTGCTTATTCACAGAGCCAAGAACCAGACAGGACAGCCCTGGGGCGGGGGGGGGGGGGGGGCAGACCTGAGCAGGCCACGGAGGAGAGGCGTAAAGGGCCTGGCAACTCCGGGGACAGGGGGTTTCTAACGGGGCAGTTTTCAGGGCAGTCAAGGGCGTCAGAACTCACCGTATTTTGAGGGACAAACACGTTAAGATACAAGCAATCCTCGCTGACTCCGGGAGACGTGGGTGTCCTGGCGCCTGGCTGCCAGCAGCTGGCCCTGGGGATACGGACTCTGTGACTTCCAGGTAAACGGCCGAGGGCACAGGCCTCATCTTCCCTTCCCTTCCCACCCACTGTCGGCCAGAACCCACTGCCCCGGCCAAATGCCCGCTGGGCCACCGGCTCTGCCGCACTTGGGCGGCTTCGGGCGACGGGCAAAGGGAGTGGCAGCACGTGAGAGGAACAGCGGGACCCCCCCCCCCCACTCTCTCTGCCGCCGTGGGCTGTGGACCGGCCCGCCAGCCAGCCATGGGGGACAAGGGACAGGGCTGGGCCAGCTGCCTCAGGGCAGGGCTGCAGGAAGGGAGAGCGGAGAATTGTGCTCTTTCCCAGGTGAACACACGCTGGCTCGGAAGATGGCAAAATCTCCAGTGTGGCAACCGTTTAAAGCGGTGTGTGCGTGGGAGGCGGTAAGGGAAACCGACGCGGTGGATGAGGCAGGAAGTTAGGATTTGACCTTTTTTTTTTTTTTTTTTTCCTTTTTCTAAAAACTCCTTTGAAGGCTGTTCCTATTGGGAGGGAGAGCCCTTTTTAAATGTTTTTCATTAGCTCATGTGCTTTTTTTCCCCCTCTCTGCTGTATTTCTCAGCCCCAGCGAGCCAGGTATGGCCAGGGCGTTGAGTTCCAACTATTTGCAGACGAGGGCCAGCGATGTGCGTATCACACACACCCGCAGGCACGGCCCATAGGAATCGTCCGTGAGGACCCTTCCGAAGCCTCTCTTTCCTGGAGGCAAAGTCCAGGAATGTGCGTGAAGAAGGGGGGTGCCCGTTGCCTGGGTCCCCGAATCACCACATGGGGCAGAACACGACGGCCGCTCCGTCACCGAATTCACTTTACGGGGGCAAGATAATGCTATCCAGAGGGTTTATCTGTTAGCGCACCTAAGGCTGCCTTAACACACTTCCCCGCCCCCATTCACTACTCAAACCGGAACGCACGGCTCTGTTACCGAGTCTCGCTCTGGAGGACCCGGACGGGAGAGGAGTTCTCTGCGCATTCACCAAAATGTATTCCACCAGATTCTCACCGTGGCTGGGTGGCATCCCAGGACCCAGTCCAGTTCAAGGGCTCCGGTGCCCGGAAGCGGCTCTCGGCCAGGGGCGGGGAGGCATACGGAACTCCCAGGAACTGATCCACCTGCTTCCATGACGTGCCCACCTGGACGGCCCGGGACCTGCCCAGCAGCTGGCCGTGGGGGGTGATGGTCACAGAAGGTGCAGGTGTCCCAGAGCTGAGCAGAGGGTTGCCTGTCGGGAGGACAGATGGGGGGCGGGGAGGGAAGGAGACGACAGTGGGTGCTGCATTCAGACAAAACACTGCTTTCGCACTGTAAAAATGCGGGTAGTTCACTCAGACCCCAACAGCCTGAGTCCAGTCAGGTTACTTTCCAATGTGAAAAAAAAAAAATTAATAGCAAGTACAGCTGATGTTCATGAGACACTGAATGTCTGCAGCTCACAGCACCAATCCCCTCTCTACGTGCGCTGCCTGGCTGATTCTCCCCACCGGAGGCCAGGCAGAGCTTAACCCCGGATCCGAGCCCTTCCCCGGCTTGCTGGGGCCAGACGTGAGCTATCGTTCAGGATGACTTGGATTTTTAAAAAGAACAGAGGGATACAGAACGTGCAAGGTCTGGAGTCAGGCCCCACCATCGAACCCATCAATTATTTCCGGGGCGAAATGTGTGGCTTACTCATACGAACAGGGATGAACAGAGCATCTGATTTCTTCAGTTACTCTCGGGCAGATGTGGCCACCAGAGAAGTTTGCTACAAATTCACACAGCCACAGAAAAATTGTTTTCTAAGTTTTAGAACTTCGGGATTGCAGAAATGATGCTGAGGCACCGTGGGTCCTTATTTGCATTTCACTCCTAAGAAAACAGATTTAGGGGCCAAGGGCGGGTAGCTGCCAGGACATCAAGGTGTGGGATTCAAAGCGTTTCTGGCCCCCGACTGTGGCCGCTGCCGGTTCACATGGGTCCAGGGCCAGCTCAGGGGCCCCTCTCCAGGCCACTGCCCTGGCCTGCAACACCCTCTCTCCCTTCCTGCATTCCCCAGGTCCATCTGGCCCATCAGGTCAAAGTCAGCGCCACCTGCCAGCCTGCCCCACCTCCAGCACCTTCCACCCCCTCCTTGTAATGCTCACCCCCCTCTCTGCAGTCCTCGCTTATCCCCTCCACCACATTTTCTGGCATCCATTGATGGAGTCAGTCAATTTTTGTTGGGACCCTGGCTCAGGGCCAAATACCATCATCTGGGACTTGGAACAGGCCTGTGTCTGATTCCCCACAGGGCTTAGGGCCTTGCACAAAGGAAACGCTAAATGCTGGTGAAGAGATCTTCTATTTCTGTCACTGCGTGTGTGTGCGTGTGCGTGTGTGTGTGTGTGTGTGTGTGTGTGTGTGTGTGCACGCATGCGCGGGGCGGGGAGAGAGAAATTTCTTATTATTTCCAGCAGGTGTGTTTGCTTTGCTCAGCTCCACTGTTGGCTGATTGAGAAAAGTTTTGCTGCTTGCTCTGCGGATCAGTCTCTACATACTGTTCCCATGAGGACAGGAGAGGAAGCAGACAGACAGGACAGATGTTTACCCCTTCCTCACGAGCGGGGCGTAATGCAGAGGTTCAACTGGAGGTGACTTTGTCCCCAGGGGGCATTTGACAATATCCGGAGACATTTTTGGTTGTCCTAAGGGTCTATGAGAGATGCCAGCTGCTGACATCTAGTGAGTAGAGGTCAAGGACGCTGCTAAACATACTGCAATTTGTAGGACTGCCCCCACGGCCAAGAACAGTCTGGCCCCGGAAGTGCATGGTGCGAGGGTTGAGAAGCCCTGGGATGGCGTGTGTTCAGGACGTTCAGGCCACTGAGGAACATCGTGAGGAGGAGCCAGTGGATGGTCCAAGGAGGCAGGCAGACTTGGGCTTGATGTGATGCACCAGCTACTTGGGGAAAACTTCCTAATTCTTCTGACCCTCTATCTCCCCCTGCACAAGAGGAGTGGTAGCAGTCCCTACAATACATAGATGTTGGGAATAAATAACATGATGTCTGCGGTGCTCCAAGCCCAGTGCCTGCAAGTGGCAGGGGCTCCACAGGTGTGTGAATGAATGAATTGAAGGAAGAGAGGGAGGAATGAAGGGTAGGAGGGAGTGGGAGAGAGAAAAAAGAAAAAAGAGAGAGGAAGGGAGGGAGGGAGTGAGGGAGGGAAGGAAGGAGGAAGGAAGGAAGGAAGGAAGGAAGGAAGGAAGGAAGGAAGGAA